GGCTCATATTTAAATGGTTGTCCACTAGGACTCCAAGATCCCTTTCACAGTTACTACTGTTGAGCAAGGTACCACCTATACTATACCTGTGCATTCTAAATGTAGAACCTTAAGCTTTTCACCACTGAATTTCATTTTATTAGATAGTGCTCAATGTTCAAGGGTCCAGTAATGCTTCACATTTTTTATCTGCTTAGGCAGGGCAGCAGAGTAAGAATCTCATTTACCTCTAGCAACAAATGTTTCATAGATTTTCTTCTCTATCTTGTCAGCTTTAAGGTTTGTTTGTTCACTCTCGTCCACTTGACTACACTTTCCAAACATTACTTCAAGCCAGAAGTATCTGCTTTCAGACACTTCCTTAAAGGAAATAAAATGCTAAGCAATACTGATTATCTTAACCAATACACACTGATATGGATGGAAGACCAAAGCTTCCATACGGATTAATGATTATTTGAATTGAAGTTCAACATAACTGGAAAAAATCAGATCAGAAGAGGCAGTTATAGCATTCAATAAAACTCTTTTTACATTTGTCTTTTAACTTAAAAGATTTATATCCTTTCTTCCAGGAAGTAAGACCAGAATATATGAATTTTGCCAATTAAATCCTCATGCTAACTCTTTTAAATAGATTTTCCAAAAGGTAAAAACTTTTCAAATGCTACTAAGTGAATCCATTCATTAATGGATTAAGCCAAGAAGATTATTAAACCAGGGGTAAAATTCACTTACCTTTGCTGCCGGTTTGCAAATGTGAGCATGCGCACTCCCCTTGCACGCACCACCTCTGCGAATGCACAGGACCTTCCACACATGCACAGAGCGCAAGCAGCTGGAGCATCACAGGCAGTGAGTGTGCATGCATGCACAGCGCGCATGCCCGTGGCGCATGCCCGGCTCCCATTGCAGCGTACCGGTTGCAACGGAAGCCGAAACCCACTACTGGGTGGGCTCTGCCCACCCGTCTGGACGTCATTATGTGTCGTTTTTGACACTCTGTGCATGCGAGGGCGCTCACATTTGCAAACCAGTAGCAAAGGTAAGTTGATTTCATCCCTGTCATAACGTATAGTTTTTCATTAGCATCTGGTTGTTTACTAGAGTTTAGAGTGTACTGTTTACAGTACTAGAGAGGCCTTGACTTGACTCATTAGGCCTTAGACTCTCATATTCTCAAAGACCTTTGGCTATATATACACAAAAAAATGTTCATTTTCAAGGATTGTGTTTAACAAACTTTCACATTTTTATAAGCTGGTAATATCTTGAACTCCAGTTCTACCTCCCATTATTTCATTGGCTGAAGATCAGAGCAAGTTTGATGAAAGCCAGAAACTTGTGTTGGCTATTGTTAAGGAATTCATGAAAATCTCTTTAAATCGAGCATCTCCAGGTGTATGAGAGCATGTTTACAGTATTGGAGCATACAATTCCAGTTTGAAGTTTAAAGCTAAAGGGAAAGAAGACATTGCCATCCTTTCTCATAGCTTTTAATAAAACTGTATGCCTTTTAATAACATTTGTTAGTTTGAAAAGGTGCTACCAGAATCCTCCTGATTTTTGGCTAACATCCTAACATACCTCTCCCCCTACAACGCTTCCAAGTGCTAAACATTTACATTTTTAATCCTTTTTATTCTAGTTTCCAGACACGCATATTACAAAGTACTGTCAAATTAGGGCAAAACTACTATTACTTCAGTCAGGTTTGTCTAGGAAAATATTCACTCACCAGCTTACTAAAGTCCCGAGTTAAAATAAGAGCCTCTGCAGTTGGAAAGGTTTATCTTGTGTATTCAGTTTAACCCTTAAGCTAGAATATTGTGACTATTTCACTGCTTTTTTTGTGTTGCACGATGAGTAGGTTTCTTCTAATTAAATATATAGCAGCTTGAATGTATTGTTTAAATGTATAATTTAAAAAAATAGAAAATTAAGCTTGTTGAAATTAAATTGTTTCCGTCAGCTCTTGGGAGGTTTTTTGAGGGAGGAATTGTCCTTTTACTGTTTGATTCACCCCTCCTCAAGAAGCCATTGCTGGATCCAACAATTTCCATCCAATCTCTCACATCCATTTCTTGGGGAAGATGGCTGTACAATAGCTTCAGAGGTCCTTGGACAAAGCAGATCATCTGGATCCTTTCAATCAGGATTCAGACCTGGGTATGAGACAAACTACACAAAAAGGCATGCCCATTCCTCATACCATTATGGCTATTCCATAATTTCTGGATTATATGCTTGAATTTGCACTGATTTAAGGAGCTAGAAAACAAGGTGCCATTGATTCCTGCAGTGATAAATATCTACAAAAGAAATCTGTTGGGAGATTTACTAGGGGTGATAGGAAGCCAACTACAATTCAGATGTTCCTGAGTTACAACTTCCAATAGCTCTAATCAACACAATCAAACCTGAAGGGTGGCACAGATTAGGCATAGAATCCTCCCCATTTAGCTTAATAAAAGATGTAGAAAGCAAGGTTTTGCCATCACATAAACCAACCATTTTATTCTGAATTTTGTATTATAAGTATGTTGTCCCTAATACATATAAAACCAGAAATGAAAAACAAGGCAGAAAACTCCTATTTTTAGTATTTTTCTATCTCATAGTGCAATCTTGACTTCTACAGATTTTGGATCTATGGGGCTCCTTTTTGGAACAAGCTAAATTGTTGTTTGTTGATGGTTACTGTAGTATCCCTCTAATTTATTTGTTCCAAAATACATTGCATTTTCTTGTTCTCATGGCTAGCGGTTGTTAGCGTGAGCAACACTTTTTAGCTGAAACTATCTGGGGTCTGGTTTCTGTCTGATCAAAAAAGTAGTGAGAATGGAATAAAACCAGAAACAATAACTTTTAAAGATGATTCCATATGATTTAGGCTTTTATGGCAAAGACCTGGAGCTATTGGCACAGGCATCCCACCAAGAGGGTGTCTTCGATAAATTCTTCCTTGTCTCTATGGTGACCTTTTAGTCCAACTTTCATACATTAACACATTTCTATTATCTGTGGTACCGTGGTACTGAAGTTGAATTGTTTTTCCAAAGAATAATAATCATTGTTCTTTTGTAGGGCCAAAAGAATCCTGCGGAGAGAGGGGTCAGGACATGTTCAGCCAATAAGGCAAACCTCAAGCTGAAAAAGTTGTCATGTTCTCTAGACTGGAATCCGAAAGACTCGTGCATAGACGTTGTAGTGTGTAGCTCTTACGCTGCTTCAAATCTTGGCTGAGAGAAGCTTCAAAAGCAGACAACCTATTAATGGAAACATATGAAATCTAAAGCAGACTATCTTTCTAATACAGAGCTTATGGTTGGAAAGGATAGGACAAAACTGTGTAGCATCATGCTCATCTCAAGGGAAGCAGTGGGCTGGTTTCATAAGACACGTTAATCTTGAAAGATTTGCTAGGCAAACAGTCCTGAATATCTAAAGCATATCTAAAGAAACTATCAAGAGGGTGAGGGTTGAAAATGTGAAGTTGGAAAGAGGGAAGGCTGAAAAAAAAAGAAGTTTGTTATGGAAATGCTGTGGAGGTAGTCATAATAATAAATAACCTGAAGGAAAAAAAGGCATCTTCAACTCCTTCGCATCATAAGGGTGGGTGGGGGAAATGGAACTCAGCATTTAAGTCTTCATTGTACCTAATCCATAGAGCATAACAGAGCATCCATTGAGCACAGGTCAAAATGGGCAAGAGGGCAAATGTGATGTCAGAAGCCAAGCACAACCGCTTTTTAATGTGCATTCACACAGAAGTACAAAATGCATTGGACTTCGGTCATCATGATGTGTCTGCCATTTCATATAAATACACTGTCCAGATGTTCCTGTTACCATAGACAAGTATGGATGGATTGATGGATTGTCAGATCTGGACCTACTGGCCCATAGGTGCTTCTTTTTCTCATGTAAGTTGCTGTGGCCACAATAATGACACTTATTCTCATTTTCTTGTGAGAGCAAAGAGCTTTAGAAATGATCATTGAGGTATCTGAGGACACCTTTGGCATACAGAAGGGCAATCTTCTGCATGTAAATGTTTTACATCAAGCTGTCTTCCTTGATATTAAAGCCGTCTATAGGTGCTTCAATGTCATGGAGGCATTGCTGGAAAATGATTGATTCAGGATCTCCTTGCACAGAAAAGCTGTTCTCATAAAATGGCTCCCTGGATGGAGTCAGACTACATCTGTAACCCCTGAGACTTGTTCATTCATAGCAGCTACCTTTTGCCATAGTTGTGAAATTGGCCACAGGTTGGTATAATGTGTGGATAACTAGAATCAAAGTTTGAGAATCAGCTTGGCATTGGGTGATAGGCATGCCGAATGGAAGATTAAAAAAACTAAATGGATGAATACTGTATTTAAAAACCAAAGTGCTTTTGCTTCTTTTTAAAAAAGGTCCTCCACCTCCTTGTAAGTGTCAGGATATAGCCATTGTGTAGATCAGAAGAGGGGAATGGTCCTTTGGCTAATTTCATGTAGATGAATTTCAACACCCTTAGGTAGAAATCCATTTTAAAGAAAGAGTTGTGTGCTTCTCTGCTGCTTGGAAAAGCCTACAAAAAACTTAAAATTAATTTAAATCTGAGAACAGAAGAAATAAGCGGNTACACCTCTTTCTTCCACCCCCCTCCAACTTTCTATCTTCCCTCCATCATCCCCCTCTACCCTACCCTACTTCCCCTCGCCCTCTAGCACTCCTATTTTGCTTCTTTTTGAATACCACGAGAAGGAAAAATTATATTGTATCTGGGTGGCTTTTTAAAAATGCTCATCTCAGTCTGTCTGTGACCAGTGGCTTATAATTTATTACTATGATATGATTATTTATAAAACAAACCAGCAGACAAGAAGCGCACAACTGTTCTGAGAATCCCGGTTTCTTTCAAATGAATTTAAAATGCCATTTTGTATGTCGTAAATCGCAAAATGCTGCTTTTTTTTTGTGAGTTCTGTGCATGTCAGGGTTTCCTGTGAACATTCAGAGCCCTGCCAGAATGTTCTAGAGCTAAGTGTGTTGGCAGGATTTAGTGCTGTCACTTCTGCTTTAACCCCCAAACACCAGCACAATGAATTGCAAGAGGCATTGTGAATGCTATTAAGATAGCCAGTGAATTGTTTTGGCTTCCTAAGGTTTTCCAAGCTCGTTCTGTCTTAGTAAAGGCTATTTCCTTAGCGCTTGCCAGAGTCCTTTCACTGCCTGACAACCGTAGGGGTGCCAATTGATTGCGGTGTTCCACCTTTGTCAGAAACACGATTATTGTTTAGATGCCAAGCTTGTTTTGATTCTCTGGGGCTTTAGATCCCATCTTTAAAGCACATATTTGTATGTGTCGTGTTGGTAGCGTATAACTAGCTCTGTCATGTGCTTTTCACGAGCTAAGGTGAATTTTTAGGAGATTAAAAAAAAAAAGAATCGTGTCTCTTAAAAAGGAGTTAAAAGCTGATTTCCTTCAGGGTATTTGTGGCTGTTTCAAGTGATTGATTGATGCTCAAAATAAATGACAAAATGGTGTGCTTTCAAAAGTGTTGTAATTATACCATGGAATGTACATGCACACAGTGAATTTAGAGCAATACATTCCATGTTGCGTGGGAAAATGGCTTTCAAGCTTTTATATTTCAGATTAACATTTGGCATCTTTATGGCAGAATGTAAGAAAAGCAAGTCACTCCTAGGGAGCCACGTCACTTCAGTTGTGACCATGAAATTTAATAATTCACAATTGCAATCAAATGTGTGTTTTTTTTTAATTCCAGGCATATTCAGTTTATGATGAAGAAATTGGTTATTGTCAGGGTCATTCCTTTCTTGCTGCTGTTCTTCTGCTGCATGTGAGTATACTAGAAAAAGAAACACTGTTGTTTAACCAGACAATCAGGTGAAATGTTTGTTTCCACCTTTCAGATTTCTAATTCTACATTTCCCTACTTATTTAATCTCATGTTGGCACTTACAAGAATAAGTGGATGTTCCTACTCTTCGAAATTCAGGGAAATTTAGTCCTTGGAATAGATGTTAAAGACATTTTTTTCTTTTCAGCCATTATGATAAACTTTTAGCTATAGCAATAGCAATAGCAGTTAGACTTATATACCGCTTCATAGGGCTTTCAGCCCTCTCTAAGCGGTTTACAGAGTCAGCATATCGCCCCCACAGTCTGGGTCCGCATTTTACCCACCTCGGAAGGATGGAAGGCTGAGTCAACCTTTGAGCCGGTGAGATTTGAACCGCTGAACTGCTGAACTAGCAGTCAGCTGAAGTGGCCTGCAGTACTGCACTCTACCCACTGCGCCACCTCGGCTCACTCTATACCAAAGCTAGGCTTTGGTATATAGAAAAAGCTTTTATGTCAAAGAAGGAAGCCTTTCTACCTGTTAAGGCAGGTGTGACTTTTGCTTGGCTGTTCATAGGGTTGTTAATAAGACTTCTGTTCATTCCTTTTATGTGAGGTTGTTTGCTTCTTTAAATGTGCAAGTAGATAATCTTATCGTGACTTGAAATCTGTAGATTGGCCCCAGATAAGAAAATTGCCAGATCACTGTGGAGCAGACTTTCAACTGGCCCTTGAGAAGATGGAATTAAGCATATTATACACAATCTATGCCTCTCAAAGCAAAGGGAATTTTTGAAATTGAAATACAGTTGCAGGCCATAGGGGGAAAAAAGATAGGATGCTCTTTGCTAAGTTACAAATTTCTAAATCACTGTATTTTTATACACGATTAGCAACATACTATTAAAAATAGTTTTGATTAGTGATAGATTAGTCTATTTCTTATGAGATAAGTTTTATTTTGTTCTATTATTATTATTATTATTATACAATTGTATCACTGCGGCCAGTTGTTTCGCCGGATTTGGCATTGGTTACTAGTCGGGCCCCACCTAGGGGCCTAGGACGTCGTAACGTATTTTCGTAATATGCGTGCAGATCCAAGCAGTGCGGCTTTTTGCATTTGACTGATGGTGATTTTGTCAATTTTTAACTGTTTTAAATGTAATTCCAGTGCTTTTGGAATAGCACCCAGTGTGCCAATTACCACTGGAATTACCACTGCTGGTTTGTGCCATAGTCGTTGAATTTCGATTTTTAAGTCCTGGTATCTTGCGATTTTTTCATGTTCCTTCTCGGCGACCCTGCTATCACCTGGTATTGCGATGTGATAGCAGGGTCGCCGAGAAGGAACATGAAAAAATCGCAAGATAATAATAATAATAATTATTATTATTAATTAAATTTATAGGCCGCCCAATCCCGAAGGACTCCGGGCGGCTTACAGAGAAGAAAGAAGAAAAAAAAGAAGCAAAAAATAAAATAAAAAATAAAAATAGTTTAAAATTCACAACATGCATTCGTTCTAATCAGGGCTGGACCTTAACAATAGGTCAACAGCCCCAGGCCTGCCGGAACAGCCAGGTTTTAACAGCTTTTCTGAAGGCCATGAGAGTGGGTAAGGTCCGGACCTCTGGGGGTAGCTGGTTCCACAGGGTTGGAGTAGCCACAGAGAAGGCCCTCCTCTGGGGCCCCGCCAGCCGACACTGTCTGGCTGACGGCATCCAAAGGAGGCCCAATCTGTGTGATCTTATCGGCCGTTGGGAGATGTGTGGCAGTAGGCGGTCTCGCAGATACGCTGGTCCTAAGCCATGTAGGGCTTTAAAGGTAATAACCAACACCTTGAATTGCGTCCGGAGACCAATTGGTAGCTATCCCTGAATATTAGATAAGTTTTCCTTTTTAGCACTTCGCTTTTGCATAAACAGCACATTTATAAGAACCCACTGAATATATGGAAGAGCTATGTAATTCTAAATTCTGAAAATTCATACGCTCTTGAGAAATTCCAATCAGTTCCACCACAATCAGCAGGTACAAAATCCTGATGGAAAGCTATTTGAATGCATATTTTAGTTTTCTCTTTTTGCGTACCCCCATGTACAGAAGGGTTCACTTTATATTTATGGTTTCCATGCAGATGCCTGAAGAACAAGCCTTCTGTATCCTAGTGAAGATCATGTATGACTATGGCCTGCGGGAGCTCTATAAAAACAATTTGGAAGGTTTGCGGAGAAAATTTTATCAGCTGGAGAAACTTACGCAGGTATTACCTGGAATTTTTCTTTGTTTTAGAAAAAGGATATGCTAAAAGAAAGGGAATAATGAACATATCCTACCATAGGTATGCTCATCTGTCCATGAAAATTGAGGTATTGATAATTAATGTGCAACCTGTATGTGTGTGTGGTTATACATACATACACAGCATACATAATACATGAAACGTATGATCTTCATGTTTAGTACCAAAGTGTTTATTCTACAAATATTTCCTAACATTGGCTTAAGATATAGCAGAAATATAAGCATATAGTTCATAAGTATAAGAAAACAACGCATGTTAATTTAGATTCTGATACTACATTTAACTTCTTTGAGAAGAAAAGTTATGTTCCTCTTTGTCTTTCACTTTTCTCCGTAGGAACAGCTGCCTGATTTATATAACCATTTTGTGGAACAGAATCTTGAAGCTCATATGTATGCCTCCCAGTGGTTTCTCACCCTCTTCACTGCCAAGTTTCCACTTTGTATGGTCTTCCACATAATTGATTTACTACTTTGTGAGGTAAAATTACCTTATATCCATAAAGAAGCTTGCTTTGCATGAAATGAATTGTCATTTTTCTTGGGCCTATAGTTCAGTTTCCAAGGATGACTGCTTCTTTTATTAGATGGAGGTATACTGCCTCTTGAACATCATTCTTTTGTCCTATTTTAGTGTGAGATGTATTTCCACCAATATTTGTTATCATCTTTATTTTTAAGATGTGTTTGAGTAAATCCTTCTGATGTCCCTGTTTAGACAATGGAATGATTCATAGAACTCAAGGCATTCGCTTATTATAAAAATGGTTTCAGTTGTCTGAAATAAACTCTTCATTGTTTAGAGGGTAGTTAAAAGTATAAAGGTTAATTTAAAAAAAAAATCACAAAAGGAATGAGTCAGAGCAAGTCTTGAACTTGCACATGTTGTATCTGCCTCTCCTAACTCTGTTCTGGTTAGAAGGCAATAGCAATAGCAATAGCAGTTAGACTTATATACCGCTTCATAGGGCTTTCAGCCCTCTCTAAGCAGTTTACAGAGTCAGCATATCGCCCCCAACAATCCAGGTCCTCATTTTACCCACCTCGGAAGGATGGAAGGCTGAGTCAACCCTGAGCCGGTGAGATTTGAACCGCCGAACTGCTGAACTGCAGTCAGCTGAAGTAGCCTGCAGTGCTGCATTTAACCACTGCACCACCTCAGCTCAATAGGAAAGTTTTACCTTAACTTCTGGTTACTGCCAATGCTCTCTTTGTCCAATTTATCAAATGATAATTCATGAATGGTACATGGCAAGAACCATGCATCCAGTTTAAAACTCTGATTTGTTTCAACAAGCCAATAGATAAGGTTCAGTTAAATTTAGAGTTAGTACAAAACTGGTTTCATTTCCAGTAGCATTCAACTAGTGGTGGGTTTCAAAAATTGTTCGAACCTACTCTGTGGGTGTGGCTTCCTTTGTGGGAGTGGCTTGCCGCCCATGTGACCGGATATGAAGATGTCGACGACACTTGTCAGAACCACCTTAAATTACCTCACACACAGCACTGGCCTGCATAAGGATATGATGTAAACTTGTTTTTTAAAAGGCATCTTTGGTTTGCGTTAAAACAACTTCAACACACGCAATGTTCTGATTGCACCGCAAACGCAGTAGTCATCCTCACCTTTCACAGAGGCACTGAGTTTTATAAATATGAGCATGATAGTGTAGAATAATCATATCCAAGGACCAGTGGTGGGTTTCAAAAATTTTTGGAACCTCTTCTGTAGGTGTGGCCTGCTTTCCGGGTCCACTGGTGGAACCTCTTCTAACCGGTTCGGTAGATTTGACGAACCGGTTCTACCGAATAGGTGCGAACTGGTAGGAACCCACCTCTGCATTCAACGCAGAATACATAATTTAGTCTAGCCTGCTTTGATTACTCAGAGATTGATCTAGTCTAATCTCTTTAATGTAGACTGCTTTGATTAATCAGTTGGACTGATTCACACATGTTAACCCATAGCATACCCATAGTGATTTTTTTTTGTTTTTGTTTTATGTGATGTAAAACTATGTCTTAATGTGCAAACTAATGTTGAACACTATTGCCTGTTCAACAAATCCTGATTTTACAAAAATCCAGGCATAGTGTTGTTTTAAATGCATCCTGTACAGGCATTTGAAGAATTTTAGCTTTAAAATAACAAACAGGATTTGTCAGAGGTAGGAATGGGGAAAGGGAAAGAGAAAGAATTACAGGTGGTCCTCAACATACAACAGTTCACTTAATGACCGTTCAAAGTTACAACAGCACTGAAAAATATGACTTTCGACCATTTTTCACACTTACGACGATTGTGGCATCCCCATGGTCACATGATTTACATTCTGTCCTAATTGTACAGATATCCAATGTGATTTTGCCATGCTTCACCTGAAGCTTATGATCCATTTACAAGTGTGGTCAGGTACAGCTAGATGATTTAGTTTAGATAGAAGAATATCTGGAATAATGGTATTGAAGTCTACAAAGAGGACTCTTGCATAGGTCTTTGGAGATTCAAGATGTTGTAGGATGCAGTGCAGAGTCATATTAATAGCATTATCTGTCAAGCTATTTGCTCGGTAGGCAAATTGCAAGGGGTCTAACAGCGGATCCGTGATGGTTTTCAGGTGGGCCAACACTAGTTTTTCAAAGGTTTTCATAACTACAGATGTTATAGCAACCAGTCTGAAGTCATTCAGTTCCTTGATGGAGGGTTTCTTTGGCACTGGGATGATAGTAGAGCGTTTGAAGCAAGAAGGAATATAGTACATCTCTAGTGATTTATTAAAGATGCAGGTGAAGATGGGGGCCAGTGTGTCAGTAAAATAGACCTTGTCTGTAAAATAGATCTTGCACTTCATTTTCTGTAATCACCAGAGGTTATTAAAGAGAACTCTGCAAATTCCTATACACGGGAAAGAGAAATGAGCTGATAGAGAAACAGCTGATCATTAAACAATAGATTAATAGGTTCTGTGCCTTTTTTTAAAGTCATTACTTTTCTTCTTTTATATTTGACTATTGTTTTTGCAAGGTTCTGAAGTGATTGTTCCAATTTTGTTCAGCAATCATTTTTATTACTTTTACAGTTCTGACCTCTAGTGGATGAACTGCAATTTCCTTAGGATTGTTACCAAAAACCTATTTATAGGAATGTTTAATAGTTTGACTCTGTAGTATGCTGTGACGAGCAACATTTGTAAATTATAATGGATGTACAAATCACAAGCTAAGTCACACAGGATACTGAGATTCTTGTGTTTGCTTTTCGACTTGCTTCCCGAAGTTGGAAAACTTAATAACTTTTATTGATTTTTTTAAAACAAAAAAATTAAATGATAAACAGACAAGAAAAAAGGTTTAGGGCAAAAAAATTTGGGGTATAATATGGAATTAAATGGAATTATATGTGGAAGGGCTGAAATTTATTTCTTTGAAATATATTATTGAATTATAATCAATGTAAATTCTAGCCCTTTCTTCCATGTATAAAATAAAAACATTTTACGAAACTTTCTTTTATTTTTGATAAAAGTATCAAGGCTTTTTATATGTACAAAGTTGGAAGACTTAGAAATGCCTACAGTGGAAGAAGAATGGTGAAGTTGATGGAATCAGGGGAGAGGGCAAAATTGATAGCTTTCATTAAAGAAAAGATTTTGGCCAATTTTATTTTTACTTGGATTTTTTTCAAGAAATGATCAATCAATAATATTTATTCAGTCAATGACAGCAAACTTTTAAAGAACAAAACAATTTACAAGAAAGGAAGTGATGATTTTAGGATTTGATTATTAGTATTATATGGGATTATAGAAATAATGAAAACAAATGTTAACCTTAGAGGAAGAGTTTGATGTACTCTTTTATTCATATTGGTACCAAAAAATACCAGAAGTCTTTTTTGTCTTTTGTTCAGGCACATCTGTCTTCTCTCTTTCTTAATTTTCTCTTAAACCTTTTTTCTTATCTGTTTATCTGTTTGTGTTTTTAATTTTTTGCTTTTGAAAAGCAATTGGAAAACGTCTGATTTGTGCTAATGCTAAACCACAGATCATAGTCCTGGGTCTTGTCAAAATTCTTATTTAAGAATTCAGCTGTAATAGAAAACAAGATATTCCTATTAACTTTATAGTATTCTATACATGGTATATTAGGAGAGGAGAAATGTGTGGTCTTATCTTTTAGATCTTTGAATACAGGTAATATTAAACAATATTGTATTCCTGCTTTTTTATTTTCATCTTGTTAGTTTTTATTAAAATGTTTAGATTTTTTGGTAATTTTCCTAATAAAAATAATGTTTAATTCTAATTTACTATGTTTTTTAGTGTATAAAGAGACAAATACTAAAGAACCTCTGTGGCTTAATGCATAGATACATCTAAAGGATAAAATAACAAAATAGGACAAGTTGATTTAAGCAGAAAATGAAATAAGGCTACTCCTAGCCTTATCTTTAAAATAGAAATAGAAGTTAACACATATTATTTTTTTCCTATTTTAACCCAACAATCCTGCAGAAAAGAAACCGTAGTCTAGAAGAAGATTTTATTCCTTAGTATGTTAATTTTACATACCGGTAGATTTTTATAATCTAACCGGGAATTACACCATTAAACCCTTTAAAATATTGCTTTTGGTATGTTTATCTATAAAAACCTGGATATAAACCTAGTATTATTAGTATTGTTTACATAGTTAAATCCCTTGCAAACTGGATTCATACTGTTTTTTTTGTTTCTTTTCTCCTCTACAGGGTCTGAATGTAATCTTTAATGTAGCCTTGGCTCTCTTAAAGGTAAGATAATTTTGTGAAATTCTTCTTATCTTTCTGTATTCACTCACTTCAGCAAGTTCACAGAAAGTACCTTGGTGAATAGTAAATGTTACTATATTACCTATATCCGGATAATTTTGTTTACTATTTTGATTAATTGGTTTCAGGAAAACGTAATAGAAAAGAGAACATACTCTCACCTAATTTATAAAAATTAAAAGTACCTTTGGTAGATGAGTGGCTAAATATATTTGTTAAATAAATTAATATAAATGAACAAATGAATAATTTTGTTTCAGGTAAGTGACCTCAGCTAAATATGGTTGGCCATAAACAAATTGCAGTTTTTTTCCTGGTTGACTATAATAATCTACAAAGCTTTCCCTTTACCTTGAACATTGGGCATTATCTAACAAAATGAAATTCAATGGTGAAAAAAATAAGGTTCTACATTTAGGTAAGAAATACATAATGCACAGGTACACTATATGTGGTACCTTGCTCAATAGTAGTAACTGTGAGAGGGATCTTGGATTCCTAGTGGACAACCATTTAAATATGAGCCAGCAGTGTGAAGCAGCTGCCAAAAAAGCCAACACAGTTCTACAATTCATCAGTGGAACAACTTGACTCCAGAAGTTGTGAATGCTCCAATACTAGAAGTTTTTAAGAAGATGTTGGATAATCATTTGTCTGAAATGGTATAGGGTTTCCTGTCTAGGCAGGGGGTTGGATTAGAAGACTTCCAAGGTCCCTTCCAACTCTGTTATTCTATTCTACCTGTTATGGAAGGAATTTAAATTTCTTGGCACAAACTTGGAACAACAAATTGTGCTATTGTGCTACCATGCTATTTTAAAAGTAGCAAATATGTGACTTGCTAATGGTGTGCAAGTGATAGAAATGTCTAGCAAGTGATAGAATATGTGCAATAATCTATATCCTGCTTGTATAATTGTCTTCTTTTCTTGAATATGTCTCAAGAAGGTTTCTTCACTTGCACTGAATGTGAGCCTGTTCAAAATCTCTTGTCTGAAGCTCCTTAACAGGAAGGTTTACATACTGTGCATTCTCTTTAGCAAGTTCTTTGTCACTTTCCACAGCTATAGTACTTTAGGAACACAGCTAAAGTATTTTCCACTCTTCTGTTTTTATTCGTCTTTGTTTAAATATTGTAGTTTCATCCGTATCAACTCAATTATTCTTTTCATTCGCATTTTTATTTTTCATAATAGTCCTTTTGCTTTCAGCTGGGCCTTCTCCCCTCCCCCCCTTGCTGCTATAAGTATTAGTAGCAGCATTAATTCTTGAAAAAATGCTCAGAACAACAGATACTGCCAAGCCTTTTCACACAGTTGCAGTGATGACATCCAGTACAATTTTTCTTCAGCAGTAAGGCATGATGGTGGTTTCATCATGAGCCCATCATTTAAGATCAGTTTGAATAAGATGACCTTCATTCCTATTCTTTTCTGTACTGCTGATTCCATGACCCAAGTGAGCTTGTGTAGATATCTTGAAGCCTTGTCTTTTTTTTTGCCATAGGAAACATCTTGAGGTTAATTAATTAAAAAAAAACACTTTATTATGGCCAAAGACCATATACAATATACAGTTAAAATATTAATAAGGTACAGAAGCATAAAGCTACGTTATGAAAGGCAAAGCATAATTACAAGAATTTTCCAGAAAGCTCACCAGGTTCCTGAAAAACTGGAAGATCAGTTGAGAAGGTCACAATTTTAAGTATGCAGCCGTTTGATTCCTCTGTTGAAACAATCAAGCAAGCTCATAAGGAGCTCACAAAATATAATATTTATTTCCCTCTTTACTCTTATATTTAGTTAGAATTTAGGTGCATATCATTTGGAAACAATCTGAGTCAATGTTACCACATATGATGGTTGAAGCAAATTATCTGGGAACATCCTTAATTCACCTTATATTATTACTTGGGTTTGAATTTTCTTTAAGTAGACAAATCACTTTTGATCTCATTTATTGTGGCTTTTCTTCTTGGCATTAGCTGTTCTCAACACTGATAAAATAATAGACAACCTCAAGTGGAATATTTGGGATTCAGATCTTCAAACAGATAAAAATCCGATTTTTTTACTTGCATTATAGTTCAATAAATATCCCTTCTTGATCCATTCCCAGATACTTTAAAATTTTACATATCTGACATGGAAGATTTTTCACCTTGGTTCTAAGTTATCTATTAGGGTGACAAACAGCAAATTCATCAATATCACCTATGAAAAGTATATCTGTATATGTACCAATACAGATTCTACAATTTAAATCCTCCTTTTTTTTTGCCTTTCCTTTTCCATAGCTCAATAAGAATCCTAGATTTTCACTTTTCAGACTTGTTTCAAGGTGGCAGTTAAATGTTGTTGTAACTAGCATAGAATTGCCAACAGAAATTGTAATTTTTATTGCTTTAATACATTTTATTTCTGCTGTTTAATTCTATTTCTGTAAGCTGTCCTGAGGCTCTGGGGAATAGATTGCATACAAATATAGTAAATAATTAAGCACAAAGAAGATTATTTTATGCCCATATTTTACATTTCTATTTAAAGTATCATCTGAGTTCCATTTAAATTAGGACATCATCCTCCAATTATATTTTTTTCATTTGCCATTGAAATATCTGTGTGGAAAGGACCATATCATAATTATAGCTTGCTCCATATATTTATAATGTCTATATAATGTATATATAATATTTGCATGTTTGCATAGGTGTTTTACATTAATCAGCTATATTTGTATTATTAATTCAATTTCTTTATTCAAGGGATAGCTCTAAATAATTAAAAATGGGATTAAGCTGATATTTAAAAAATGACAATATTTCACAGTTAGTACAAAGAGAGCATTTTAATCGTTTAAGAAATTCAGAAAACAACTGAATATCATAATGGCTAAAAAAAGATTTGAATTTCCCCCAAAGTGTGAAATATTTGTTAGAAAACTAATCATTGAAATCTTATTTAGTTCACAAGCTTGTTTTCCATTCTACAATGGAAACATTAGAATACAAAACTTGAAAGATTCTGTCACCTTCAAATGTTTTTGAGCACCTAATAGAAATATCACAGATCTATTTCTTACATTTTATGGTTTACTAGTCCCTGAATTAACAGTATTTCTCTCTGTAGGCATTTGCCTTAAAAGTTTGCAGCTTCCTTGATTATAGTTTTAAGTGAATGGTGTTCAATCTGTTCTAGCAGATTTCCTCTGTTGGCAAGGAATTACTTTACTATGAAAGAATAATTTTGAGACCATCTATCAAATTAATTCCATTTTCAAAAAACTTTGTCACATAAATGCTTGGTTCATGCACAACATGTAGTTCGCATGTGTGCATCTTCACATTATGGCAACAAGTCATTGTTAAAACATATTTAGGCTTTTTTGCTTGAACAGTTTTTGTGTAAATTTAGTCAGCTAGTAAATTTTCCTATAAAACCTAATTTGTATGCATATCTCAGGCACTGCTTTCAAACTTTTATCTGTGGGTACTTTCAGCAAATATATTTGGCTTCTAAAGAATATTATGTTTGCTATTTTATGAGAGTAAGCTGCTAGGAATCTTCTGACAAGATATAAATGTAAATAATAAATTCTTTTTCATTAAATGCTTGATGCGCATCTAGAGTTGTGTTAAAAAAGAAACATTTATTTTCATCAATAAGCAAACTTGCAACATTATTTTCTGTAAGAATTATTGTATTTATGCTATATATATTATTTGAGCTTAGCAGCCCTTTTTAAATCATTTTTTAAAATTAGATAGTATAATAATATATATGAATGGCCTTGGAGACCAGTCAAAGAGATGCTCTTAGGGAATGGTCAGATAAGAGGGTATAGCCACATAGAGCTAGAGGGTCAGGGGGGACCCACCCTAAGTTACGGGCTGCAAAGGTGACAGTGGCAGAATTGTACTTTCATACTTGCAAGAGTTTGTTAATATAACTTTACAAGAAAGTATAATTCTCTGGCCAGGGTTCCTCTGGTCTACCTGGTAAGACTGACAGATATTGTTGAATGAATGTTTGAATGTTTATTTTATTTATATGCCGCCCTTTTCCCCTGAAGGGGACTCAGGGCGGCTCACAACTCAAACCAGGGAAGGGGGGGGATACAGACAAAATTAAAAATGACACAAAACAATGCATGATTTAAAACACACAACAGTCATACCATTCGAGACGGGGGCAACGGTTCTTTAGCCGGAACATCCAGNAGCTCAGCCAGTTATGAATTCAATGCTGCAAACGTGGGTGCGAGCATTTGACACATTTGTAGATGAACAACAGTGTGCATCCTTGGAAATAACGGGTTTCAAATGTCATCTTTATCTCTTACTACATCTTTTTTGTGATTAGTTTGATGTTGCACATCTTAATTTCAGGCTATGGTAGTAGGTCCGTTTTAAAATATATATATAAATTGGTTCCTTGGGCCAAAAGCGACTGCAGGATTCAAATCAATCTGTACGTGCCTTGCAAATTTCTTCCAAAAACCCAAGAGTTAACAACAACGAATGCTTCAGCAAAGCTATAGACAACAATTCAGTTGCTGAATCGGGCTAATTGTTCAGGTCGGCCAAAAATTAGAGGACAGAAGAGCCAATGGTAATGCTCAGTTTGATTGGGTCGATATCCATAGCCTGCCAGTGATTAAACTGACTTTCTCACCTTCCAGGTCTGTTCCCTTGAGCATCTCACAATAACGAGTACCATGAAGTGAATTCATCTAGGAATTTAACTAGGAAGCTCATATATACTTTACTCATTTCTTAGATGGTGATTTGGGAGATTTGTGGGGTCTTATTTGTATTAAAGGAACAATTCTCCTTTACATTTTTGTAAAACTTTGTCATGGAGTAATAGCCTTCCATCCATTTTCCATCCCTGACATTCCCCCCACCCCCAAGATCCATGTTTATTATTAATTTTAAAGAGTTAATAATCTATAGCCAACATAGTGTACAAATACCGCTG